TATCTCATCCCCATACTTGCTTACCTTTGCCCTGTGTTAAACCAAAATTAATTAATGCCTATTCACCAACAAGGAGACCACTATTCTCAGAACAAACTTACTTGCCAATGCCATTGATATCAAGGAGTTCTTCTTTCGTTCTCGGCACTCTCTTGCTCATCTGCTGCAACGTGGCATTACTAAATAGAAACGACAGCTTATCAGATGCCTTTATCACGAGTAGTATATAACACATACGTCATATCATGTAATAAAGCAGAAATGGATTTATTAGGCAAATTTTAATTTTCAATTGCATTCGTTATAATGCTATACCCTATAGAGTAACTGAATCCAAAATGGAGACACTGTTACTTGTATTACAAAAAGAAAATGTCTAATAAATTACCCAAATATGTGGTAAGCAAAAACACTATCTCCAGCTTCTTTAACAAGAGTTGTCCTCAACATACGCAGAGCAGTGTATAACTTGGCTGAAAGATTCTGAAGCAGATTTGTCTTTAGATATAATTCAAGAACAGATAGAAATTGCAACAAACAAACTGAAAGATAACCCATTTCATACCAAATCCACTTCAGTTTGAGGCTGAGGAGCGTTAGTTGGAATAACATTCGGCTTCCCAGATGTCAAAGAACCCTTGGCTGGAGTTGCATCAGATTTCCCTGGTTTTAATGCCTTTACAGACGATGGGAATCTACAGTAGTTGAAAAATTCCATGAGTATATGACCAGAGAAAAACACGCGTGTATTGTGAACTTGAAGCCCTAGAAAGCTTAGACAAAGATTCAAGTCAAATCGATCTCATATTTATCAAAGCCCTCACATACAAAGAAAAAGGAACTTTCACGGAAAGATGTTCAACCACGGTAAGAATTAGCTTTCTAATTCAACAAAATTAAGCAAGAAACAGAATGAGATTGACAAACCTCAATATAATTCTGTGCCCAGCAAACAGATTACAGACCTTGAGCTCATTTACCTGACATTTTTTAATGCTTTAGAAAACTTACAGTCATAGAAGCTAATTATGTAAACTAACATTGGAAGCACAATGAGCAAATGTTAAACTCGGTAAAATTGCAGTATATAACATGAGCACTGATACCTTCAATATTGACGATACCGATCCATAATAATCACTTTTCTTTACTTCTTCCACAAGAATATCCTCAACAACAAGATGATGCAATATTCGGGAAGCCTCACCCTTAGCTAGATGCTTTCCAGCACCATGAAGGCTCACTGTCTCATGGCGATTTTTCTTGACCTTTGTTTGACATTAGAAGTACACTATCAAGAACGATAATATATTGCAAAGAATGAAAAGGAAAACAAATTAAATGCTTATGGCATACCATTTGGCTAAAGGAACCACGATAGACTTCTAATATATGAGATGATGAGAACCTCTGTCCCGTTAGCTTAACAAGTTCAACCTAAGCATAAGACAACAAAAAAGTAACTGAAACTGCGAACGAGAGGACTCAAATATTACACTCTAATAGAACTTCAATAAATGGAGGGATTAAAGAGTATGCTGATAGAAAATGTTTCCGAACCAATTGCTTTGCTATCTCTGTGACATCCTTCTCAATGAAATTTGTGATCTTCAAGCAATTATCACACGTTTTGTGACAAGTTGAAGAATTAAACTTCTCCCCAAAATGAACAAGCTGCAGAAGGCGCCGACAGTCGACCTCATTTTCACAATAACTAACCTGAGGCAGTTCAAGACAAATATTTAGTGATATAATAATAATAATAATAATAACTATAATTAGAATCTCAATTTTTTTAAATTTACCATTCGCATAAGGTTTTCAGTGTTTGTTTCTAGTATGCTTCCAGGATTTATCATATTTGAACGATTGTATCCAGATGCCATGGGACTTTGCTCTATTGATCCTTGACTTATCATATGCTTGACTCGTATCTGTAAATATGAGATGCAATCATACATAAGCAATAAAGGAAGTTGAGTAAGGAGATGGGATCTCAGTCATCACTCGTTTCATTTGATTTCCACTAATATGAATGCTAACTTAGGTTCAATAAACATATTAAAATACAAGTAAGAGGGTTGAGATCGATACTAACATAATCACTATAATTATAATATAATACACAAGACGAACGTTGACCATCTCTACCAGCTCGGCCACATTCCTGAGAGGAAAATAAGAAGCATGCACGTAAGCCAACAGAAGCAAAACCTATATACCTAACATATTTGATATTCTGCCAGTACCTGATGATAGCCTTCAATAGATTTTGGGAGAGAATGGTGAATTACAAAGCGGACATCGGGTTTATTAATACCTGAAATAACAAGTATAAAATATGATCTCATACAATTAATTAATGCAATAGGCAGTAGCAAGGAAGTAAATATACCCATTCCAAATGCTACTGTAGCACAAATTATATTGATTTCATCTTTGCTCCACTGTTTTTGAACAAAGGCACGTTGAGCAGGATCCATGGTACCATGATAAAATGCACATTTATGTCCAAATTCCTGAACAATGAATATAACTAGATAATGTATTCACAAGCTGAACGAATTGATATTAGCTTCCACATTTATTTATTTTTCAATTAAAAAAATGAATCAGCTTGCTAAAACTGGGCTCTACGTTCAGGAAGGTCACCAGATTGCACTGATGCTTTTCAGATACCCACATTTTCATGCAGAAACAGTGAAACAAAACAAAAAAACATGAACCATGATGAAAAATGAAAGAAAAGCTAGAGCAAGCCAAAAAATCAGAGCCAATTCAACATATTACGCTTTTAAGTCCAATATACAAATATGAAATAATAGGAACTAACCTGCAAATTGCTAGCGACCTTTTCACAATCCATTCGTGAAAGACAATAGATAATGCCACATTCATCAAAATGATTCTCTCTAATGAATTTGTCAATGTCTTCCAAACACTTTTTGGTCTTGGGGACAACAGAATACCTGCAATGTTAAAAATGAACATGATTCATCCATTGAAGGTTTAGCAAGAAGTCAGTTCTTCATTTAACACACCATAAGTTTGGGCGATTAAAACTTTGCCGAAAAACAATGCAGTTAACAAGACCAAGTGCTTGCACGACATCTTCTTTTACGCTAGCAGTTGCTGTAGCTGTTAAAGCTAAAACTGGAGTATTTGGAAATTTCTGTTTCAATATACCAAGTCCCTGGTGAAATCAAGAGTAACAATTAAAATTTAAACAATACATTATCATAGATTTGCGTCAATTTGAAGGGCACAAAAGCTCCAACCTGATAATCTGGTCTAAAATCATGCCCCCATTGGCTCACACAGTGAGCCTCATCAATTACAATCCTTGCAAGCAGCTCACGAAAATGTAAATTCTCTAAGTGTCGCAAAAGATTATCACTTCTGCAGTAAAAGTAAAAACAATAGCATCATGGAAAAAAATGAAGAATATGACTCTTAAGTTAAAATGTTTCATAGAATAGAGCAGCTATCAATGATGGCACTCACTTGACAACTTTTTCAGGTGTCACATATAATAACTTGTATTTACAGTAATCAGAATTAAGTTCTCGGAGGATCTCCTGCTGTTCAGTCCATTCCATATTGGCACTTAAGTAAGCAGCTGGTATATTTGCCTGTAAGCCAAGCCAACAGGAGCAAATAAACATCTATCTATCAATCAGAAAAACACAGGGCAGAAAGAGGAAGCAAGTTACAAAATCAGCAATACCTGCAGTAAGTGCATTATTTGATCCTGAATAAGGGACACAAGGGGAGAAATTACTAATGTTATACCATGACAAACAAGAGCCGGTAACTGCAAGACAAGACATTGTAAGATGACAGTTTTGGTAAAATCTAGACAAATATATCAACAAAACCAATAAAATGAGATAGGGAAAAGGCCATAACTCGAAAAAGGTCTTTAGAAAGATCGTATTACCTGATAAGTCAGACTCTTTCCACCACCAGTGGGCATCAGAACAAAAACATCACATCCACTCATTGTGGCATTAATGACCTCTCTTTGATTGGGGCGAAAGGAATGATTTCCAAATACCTTTTTATTATTAACCTGTAAACAAATAAAAAAGTTATTAAGACGAGTTACATTCACTGGAAACTGACAATAATTCAGTTAAATACCTCTAACTCTTTTGTCCAAGGAAAATCGTGGCTGCTCCAGCGTTTGTCTCCAGAACCTTCAATGTAATTAACTTCAATAATCTTTGGGATGAACTCTTCCCGCTCCACCGGGCCTGATGATGTGCTATAATTGTCTACAGAAAAAGATGGAAGAGACTGGAATGTTGAACCACATGTCCCATTACCCATATAAGCCTGAGTATCGTATTGCTTGGATCCATTACAGGCACCAGTTTGCTGAGGTGTTTCATACACATATGATGCGAATGGTGCCGTGGATGCAGAAAAATGTGACTTTTGCCTTTCCTCGTTAAGATTACTTGATTGAGTATATTTTTCTAGTTGCTGAATTTGCTTATTCAGCTGTGACCTAGCATTAGCGACAAGTTTTATTTTCAACTCATGCTATTCAATTAAAAAAATATGCTGTAATTTTTTTATGCATAATAATTTAGCATACCACAACTATAAATTAAAAAAAAAAAAGATGAAAAAATGTTACAAACAATGTAATTCCAAGGGAAATGCACACCTATCATGGCGAAGCTTTGATATCTGTGTAGAATTGAGGGTTTCACAATTGTCGAGCAGTTCATTAGAGATTGCAATTAGATTATCCTTCAATTCCTGCAAATGAATTGCTGCTTCAGGGCAAAGCCCTAGCTGCAACCAATTTTAGGATTAGGCCGATCAATCTGACAAATAAACATGGATAACTTGGGAAAGATCAAAATACCTTGTACCCATGGATGCAATCTAAACACAGGTCTGGTGGCAAAACATCATCCCCCTGTCTAGCAAATCCATCTTTATCTGCATTTGGTGTTACAGGAGGAAACTTGGATATTGACGGCTTAGGAGTGCAGGTCGATTGGTATTTCTCAACAATTTGGTCAACATCAATGTTCTTAAAGGCAACCAGAAGCAGGACGGAAACAAAGAGAGAGAAATCAGCATCTACATGGATCTAAGCAGTTAGGATAAACTTGACTAGGTAACGGTTTATTTTTAAGAAAAGGCAACAAAGCAGCCACACCAACTACGGACAAAAGGACATAATCAGAGAGTGAATAAAATGGCCAAACATCCTCGTCAGTCTCCACTTCACAAAAGAATTGTGCAAACTACTACCTTCAAGTTGGAATAACCAACATACATTCATCGGCAAACTAGTAGTAAAAGACTGAAAGTTAAAATAACTGGTACAAAATTATGTATGACTGCAACTAATAACTATGGTAAGCCCTTTGATTTTATATCAGTTCATTCAAAAACAATAAAATCAAGCAAGTTGCAACAAATTGTTGGCAATTCTAACTTACAAGCCTAATGAGACCCAGATGAATTTGACTCGTTTAAATTAATCAATGCATACTAAATTACCTCAAGTATGTTATCATCATCAATATCTCCAGACATGCAGTTAGAAGACTCGTTGATTTGGCCTGTGTACTTATTATGATTGTTCAATGAACCATCCAAACCCCAAGAAGTATTTCTGCTAGCTGGAATGTCAGTGACATCAGGACACATACGGTTGTCATTCTGATAGCCTCCATGGATTGGTGCTGTTCTCGTATTCTCATGACTCTGACAATTAACATTGACAGTTTTTCCAGGTTGTACATAGTTCCTACTAGAATTTTGTAGACTTGAAAGAGCATCCCAAGCCTGTCAGGAATTGTTTCATCAGAAGTTATTGCAAACTGTAGAAGTCTCAAATAAGAACATTTACATTGGCAAACTACTCACTTTCATATAACAGTTATACTACTATACCTTGTCAAATTGTACTCTCTGTGAAACTTGAATATTTTCACTTCGTTGAAAAACAAACCTGAGAGAATTGACGCATTAGAGAGCAAGCTGAAACTGAGCTGAAATCCATATATTAATCTAGCATATCAAGTTCCACAGAAATAGCACAACCACAGTTGACTAAGGAAACCAACAAATAAAATCCATTCAAAAACGATCTCAGCACTGAACAGCAAAAAAGTGGAGTAAGAAGATATAATCCAAAATGGTAACTTTTAAATTGAAACAAGTTTAAACCAACATCTACCACGTTATACCGAAGTGTTAGCAAAGCAATAATAGTCGATTGAAGTAAACGGAAATTTTTAGACAGAATTAATGTCTTGGCAACCCCTGGGAACGAAATTGATTTCCCTGTATACACACAAAAACTAATGAAGCCCCAATGCCTAGCCATTCCAAGAAAGACCTATAAATCCTATTGTCTAGGAACTCTGGACATGAAACTCTGAACGAACTGGCAATATAACAAAGTACAAGAATGAATGACTGTTGAAGTAAAAGGTGTACCCGGCAGTCTCAGGGTTCGGTTCTTGGTGGCGGGGCTTCTTGGGCGGAACAGAGAACAGAAAATTAGAGCTCAAAAACTTCTCTTGGGAGGAGAAATTCTCATGAGCATTGGCATGCCGCAACCAGTCCCTGTTATTCTCTTTATCAACGCGAACTGAATTGGTTTCACTGTGAACATTCCAAAACCTAATTAGCCACTAACTATAAATGATGAACCACAAAGATGGAAACAAATAAAGCGAACCCAAGCATCATTACCCTGGTCTCATTTGAGTAGCAACCAAACAACACATTCCCTGCAGAATCAGAACTCAATTTGAATTACAGCAACACGGCGCAATAATAATGAACAAAAATGAAGAAAAAAACTCGTTGGCGTGCCTCATCAAAACATGGGCATCGGTAAATGGAAGAAAAAATGCAATGGAGATTGCAACGTCGAGTGGAAGTAGAGCGATTCGAATCAAAACCCTAGAAAAGTGATTGAGGAGAAAAGTTGGCCATTGAAACACAGAGATCCAAATAATCGTACGGAAGAGAAGAGAAAGAGCTTTTCCAAAGCCTTGGCGGTATTTTTCATTTCAACTAATCTACTTCTGCAAAATCTTGATTTTTTTTTTCTTTTTTTATAACCCAATAAAATAAAATATAAAAAATTGCATAAAAAATACTGTCTAAATTTTTTTATAATTCAATTAGCGGTACAAGATTTTCAATTCCCGCCAGGAGGATTTACACATTGCTGAGACAATGACATAAACCTAAAATTTTAACTTTTCTTTTTTAAAAATATTTTTTCACTTTGTCTTAAAAATTAGGGTTAAATATGTTTTTAGTTCCTAAACTATTGGCCATTTCTGGTTTTCGTCCCTCTTCCAAAGTAAGGTACACTTTAGTCCTTATACTTTTCGAAACTTTGGTTTTAGTCCTTCAAAACTAACACCGTGAAAAATATATTGATGTGTCTAACGTCTCTGTCCACGTGTAATTGCTTGTTTGCTGACATGCATCTGTTAAGTGATCTGAACTGATTTTTCAAACAACTACTCTCCAAGTCAAGCTTTTCTCGGAGACCCAATCTCTACCTTCACTTTGTTCTCTGTTCTTTAATTCTTCTTCTATTTTATCAAAGTCTTCAACTTGATACACCACACGCAGAAGTGACACAAGCTCCGAGATACTCATTTCGCTGTAATGCTTTTGAGAAGTAGTAGAAATGGAACTCTGCAAAGACCCAGATTCGATTTTGGGTTGAAGTGTCATGAGAATGAGAAGTCCAAAAGACGCCGACTTTTTTCTGTGGGTGAACCGAGCGAAAGAAGAAGAAGCCGCTACCTCTGGTGCAAGTAACGAAATTTGAGCAAATGAAGAAAGAAGAAGAAGGAAGAAAGAAAGTGTGTTTGGAAACGTATGAAAGAAGATGAAATGAAAAAGGTGAACAGGGAAAGGGAACGACGAATATGAACTTATACATCTTTTCACTTTCAATAATCTTTTACGGATCAACAAAAAGATACCCAACCTAAGAGAAATGATAAAAAATGTTACTAAAACTTGAGAGAAATTTTTTATTGAGGGTCGGATGCAAAATTTATCAATTAAATATTTTTTAAGGGAGCGCTGTGGCCGTAAAGGTTAGAAAGATGATCAAAGGTCTGTTTCTTCCAGTTGAGAGCGGCTTGAAAGAGAGGAGTCTCTCCATCTTTGTTCTTGAGTTTCGCTAAGTAAAACTTTTGTTAAGCTCTACCTAATGTAAAACTTTACCATTATTTTTTCTTTCTTTAACTACACTCATGAATTTTTATGTTCTCAGGAAATTCGTTACAAAAATCCAAACACATCATTGGTTAACTGTTAACCTTGACCATCTCAATTTACAATATATAACAGTTCTCTGCAGCCATAGGACAAGAACTATTTTTCTGCTTATTTCTTTTTTCTAGTTTTGTTAGTCGAAAGATAAAAAAAGAAAGCCATTACAGCTACCATTACTGATAAAAAAAACAAAACAGAAGAGGACAACGAGGTTGAACTTTTTTGCAGTAGTAACGCTTTATTTTCTTTGGAATCCAATAAATTAAGTTGGCCACTCCCAACAATGTGGAGATATTATTAATTGATTTGAAAATTGATTTAATAAAAAAATAAAAACATATTCAGACTGATCTCAAACGAAATTATAATTCTTTTATCTTCCTCTTATATCATAGAACTCATTAAATAGAACGTAAGACTAATATATCATTTGTAATTCTTTATAAATTTCCACTAAAAAAGTGTTAATTACGTATACATATATTTTTTTATCGGCATTAATTATGTGTAGATTAATGTCCATATATTCTGGTAATCTGAAGTTGAAGCAGGATGGGAACGACCAAGTACGGAAATTTTGAGGAGGTGTTGTCGAATAAAGTGAACCGTCTGGCGCAGTTCACATTGGAAGGGAAATGGAAAGAGGTTGAGGAGATGTACAATGAAAACCCAGCGTGTCACACGGCAAAGATTGACGATTTCGTCGGCACTGCACTACACGTGGTGGTGGATTTGGCCGAAGAAAATTTGGTTGAAAAGCTTGTGAAAGCCATTATCAGACACAAGACGAGGAAGGCTCTGAAAGTGAAGAACTATCAAGGGGATACAGCTCTGCATGTTGCTGCTTCCAGGGGTTTCACAAAGATATGTCAGATCATCGTAGGAGAGAATCGGAAGAGGATTTACTTAGCGAAACTCAAGAACAAAGATGGATACAGCGAAATGAGTATCTCGGAGCTTGTGTCACTTCTGCGTGTGGTGTATCAAGTTGAAGACTTTGATAAAATAGAAGAAGAATTAAAGAACAGAGAACAAAGTGAAGTTAGAGATTGGGTCTCCGAGAAAAGCTTGACTTGGAGAGTAGTTGTTTGAAAAATCAGTTCAGATCACTTAACAGATGCATGTCAGCAAATAAGCAATTACACGTGGACAGAGACGTTAGACACATCATTATATTTTTCACGTTGTTAGTTTTGTAGGACTAAAACCAAAGTTTCGAAAAGTATTAGGACTAAAGTGTACCTTACTTTGGAAGAGGGACGAAAACCAAAAATGGCCAATAGTTTAGGGACTAAAAACATATTTAACCCTAAAAATTATGAAAAGTTAAAATTTCCATATATTTTTAATTAATGATTGATATGACAAGAGCGATAATTAAATTTAAAGTAAATACAGAAGAAACCCATTATTTCATAAAAGTTTAAATTTCTCAAAAATTAAATTTATAATTATATAAAGTTTAGAGAATGATTTATAAATTTCGAAATAAATTTTTATTTATTTATTTTAACTCTTTCACATAAATTTAAGTAATTATAATTAAGTATCTGTTTAAAAGAAATTGAATACTCAATTTTCTTTAAAAAAATTCAAATAAATTTTAACCATTTAATTGTTAGATTGATTAGATAATGAATTTACTTTCTTGACTTATTAAAAAAAGTGACATTTTATGTTTAATATAAAATTATATTGTCATTAATATGAAAAGTAAATAAATTTTATTACATTGAAAATATATTGCATTTAATTATTTACATGTTATCACCTAAGGTGAGATTTTATATTCACTAACAATATTATTAGGTTGGCTTATGGTTTATCACTTACATTAACCAATAAATTGTCTTGTTAGGTAACAAAACCATTATGCTAATGAATTATATATCAACACCTATAATATATTTTATTCAACATCATTTAATAAAAATCATCCACTTCACATTAATAGTAATATTGTTGTAATATTAACTACATGGTATTTTTTTTTTTATCATGGAAAACAAGATTGTTATTTTGAAAGATAACTACGTATCCGACAAAAAATAAACTAAAAATACTATATAAAAATTGGAATACTCAACAAACTAACAAAATTTAATAGAGATTTAATTGAAAACATTCTAAAACTTAATTTATTATTTATTTAACAAGTAAAATATTTAATTGTATATATTATCTTATTTAAATTGAACCTTTATTTATTTACAAAAATTTAGATTTTATTAATTTTTTAATTTAAATTTTTGCTTACAATTTTCATCTGAGCATATTTTTTTCAAATAGGATTATATAATACTTATGTTTATCAAAAATTGCAAATACGAAAAGTGAATAATTTTTTTTTTATCTTTGTAGATTGGATAATGCTACTTTAACAACATTTTTTTTAACAACATTTTAACATCATCTACGTGTCATTTTGTGATTGGTCCATGTTAGTGTTTATGATTATTATTATTTATTTGGATTAATTTTTGGACCAATCACACAATGACACGTAGATAATGTTAAAATATTGTCAAAAAAAATGCTGTCAAAAGTATCATTATTCTTGTAGATTTGTAAAAAAAAAAAGTAAACAATGTACAAGAAATATAAGCATATTTCGTTTTTAATATGCTTAAAAAATCACTATCCTA